AGAAAGTAGACATGCTCGGAGCCAGTCGCTGTAACATGCTGTCTCATTCACTTTGTACATATCAGGTACTGGTTTCAACTTTTAAGCTAGTTTGGTTCTTCCATACCAGACAGTAGTAGGTTAGCGATGTTATTACCACGTTTGCTAACCTACTACTGTCAGGTATTGAAGAAACACTTTTATTTCTACCAAAAAGTCAAGGTGAATTCTTCCTTAAACTAGTTTAATCTTTACTTTTGCTACACACTAATACATTATGAACATTGAACGTCATTGCTTTTTCTATGGCCTGACCACTTACTTCCAGTTCTGGGAGAGGACAGCTCACGCATGTCGAAGATCCATGAAAGATTTAAGGGCATTTAAAGGCCACGTTGGCCTACCAATTCACAAGCCTCAAGGTTGCTATAAACTTGAGGATCACTTGATTACAGCCTCTAAACTCGGAGTTCAGCATCCAAAAGCATTGACGTTTAAAATACCAACACTATTCTTTTGCTGTAGGATCTTGAGAGGACCCTCTTAGACTTGACTTACAGAAAGTCATGAAGACAAGAAAGAGGAAGCCCTGCAAAAGAAACACAGACAGGTACAAAAAACATGTCTGAATTACTTTATTTTAATAGCACAATAAATAAAAAAAGAGACCAAAGGGACCAAGGTCCCGTTTGAGCTCCATCTCCTTCATTGTCTAACTTTTAGGTTTCATGTCTTCATTGGCTTCAACCTGCTTCTGTTTTTTTTTTCTGAGTTTGCGATTTTGCTTTCAATCACTTCAGCTATGTTCAAATCAGACACGAGTCCCAATGCAGGCCTGTGGCTCGGCCACAAAGTAAAAGTCCTAGTGTAGAGACGGCTTATAGCAAGTATTCTCCTGTAGTTAAAAATTATATTGGGATAATCCATCAAGTTTTCTTTGGGTAATCCGTAGCATACCTTTGTTTTCTTCTGCCGTAGTTTGGTGTCGTTGGATGACAGCAAGGCGACGGAACGCTCGTCTGAAGGTGCGTGCAAATTTAGGAGTAAATATGGACAAGCCTTTTAGTAGTTTTATGAGCAGCTAAATCAATGCTTTTTATTTCCATTGTGAGATTAAAAGACCCCACTGTGGGGAAATTTTCAGTGTTGCATCACCGAGTGACAGAACAGTAGGAAATACAAGGAGCACACGGCACAAGATAAATAAACAATAACTCTGTACAAAGTAAAATAAAATCTCTTTACGGAAGCATCAAAAATAAGCATAAGAAGCAAAGTATAAAGTACTGTCTATTCTAGGGCAAGCAGAATAGTAACAGGAAGTCACAAACACCCAAGAGACAGAACAGTTTTTAATCTTTGTGTCTTTCTCTTGTAGCTCGGACCCCCAGTATGGATGGACTGTAGCCAAATAAGTGACATCGGTAAGTCCTATACAGTGTTCACAGTCCGCTCCGGAAAACTATTTTTAGTTTATTGATTTTGACCGATCCGTCTCAGCTCCAGAATCCTTCCATTCCCTTCACTCCAGCTGCCACAAAGCCTTTTCAGTCCGTCATCGAACCGCAACGGCGATCGATCTGTTTGCTTCATGGCCTGTGGACGAGGCTCCACCCCCTCCTCCGCCTCCTCCTGTAATCATCCCCCTCCTGCCCCCTCCCCAGCCGGGACCCCCACAGCAGCTATGGGCTTTCCAGTCTAGTCGAGCACAACCGGCCAACACTGGTAAACCGCTGCCCAGCTCTGTTGGGCGTGTGCGCTAGCTGCTTCTGTCGCCTCTTCTGCGGACACTAACCCTAACGCTGTTCTTTACATTCTCAACTTTTTAACAGAGCTTTGTCCTGGGATGAATCCTGCTTTTTCTTCTGACTACTTTTGTTTAAGATGGTTTACTATAATTCGACTGTTTGATTGAGACATCTGGGTGACTGGTCTGAAATAATGAATTCCTCATTGTTTAAACTTTAAACTTTGTGTAATATCCTCAAGTCCCGCCACAGAAATACCCTAAAAAATTTTTAGGATTAGGGTTGCTGATTTTTCCAAACTTGACAAGCCCCTGGATCATTTAGACCTGATTTAGGGTTTTCTGTCTTCTACTTTAAATCATTGTTTCGGCTTTGTATATTGATTTAAGCAGATGTGTGTATATAAACCTAAAATGAAGGAAGCCTATTCTTTTTCTCTGTGATTACACATTTCTTCAAGATATGGTTTGTAATTCGCGTCCTTTAAAGTCCCCTAGATGTAATATTTTGCAATGTACTCAGAAAAAACATTTGTTGTTAATACTGATTGGTGTTTAGGTCTGGACGACGCTGACAAAGGGGACATGGCGTTCCTCAAAGACCTCCTCAGCCCTGGGCCTGGTTCCTCTGATGAGTTCACCAAAGAGTGGCAGGATGTGTTTGGCGTTTTTTTTTTGACAGTCCAACTGTCCTTCATCCGCCCCGAGTGGAGCAGCAGCATCAGGCAGCAGTGTGGGGGCCTCCTCCTCCACGGCAGCAGCAGCAGCAGAGCCCACCAGCCCCACAGGCTTTCTGCCCTCACAGACTGCTCGACCACAGCCTCAGCGACCACAGGTCTGTCACACTGCCCCCTGCTGGTAGAAGGCATACAGTATGTTTTGTGTTGTCTAAAACAAGGTGTCAAACCAGTCCTCAAAAGGCCGGTGTGCTGCAGGATTTATACTTCCAACCTGAGGATCTAAAATCTGCAGCCACACCGGCCCTTTGTGGAACCAGTTTGACAACCCGGTCTAAAAATAAGTAAGGTACATTATGATTGTTTATTCCTGTTTTACTCAAAAGCTGAGTGGTACTAACTTTCAAACCACATAACGTAGAACTTGTTGTTACTAAACATCTATCTAACTTTCTTTGTTTGGATCAATCACTATGTTTCACATAGATGTATTAATTCCCCTCTGTCATATGTTGAGACCTGCTTTTTCATGTCCCAAAACAGAGGGGCTACACAGGACTCTTTCTTCCACACCATGCAACAATTTACAAACGGTTACACGTGTATCTCATAAGATGAAAAGAATCATTTTGTTGGGACAGATTTGTTCACAAAACATTTACTTTCTACAACGATTCTTTCTAGTTGAAACAAAGAAAATGTGTTTATTTATGGAAACAAACACCATAAATACCCCAGCTTTAAAATTAGACTCTCTGGAAAGTGCAATTTAAAACCACCACTACTGGTAACCTACAATATATTGTAGGTTATTGTAGGTTATATCAAATAAAGTAAATTGCTTAGGTGTTGAAACGTTATGAAAAACATAAATTTATGTCGTTTATTGCATTGGCAAACATGGCATATAATGTTTTGAAAGTTCAGGTCCAAGAATGGTATATGTCATTTTCAGTAAAACCACATTAGATTAATCTTTGCAAGACCCAACCTCCGTATGCACCAATCAGAAGATAGGAACACATCAGAGCACTTGTTTCACACTTTGACCTCATTTAGGACTATGTTTCACCAAATAGAATCATATGGCTGTTTGCTGGGTGTATTTTATATGTAGATCATTTATTCTCGTAATTATTGTAACATTGTGTGGCTTATCTCTATTACCGGCTGGGCGACACCTCCTATGTTTCAAACCGCACCAATGCAGCCCCCTACTAGGCCATGAGTCCGTTAGCACAGCCACCACCGGAGTGCAGCCAAGACCGGTAACCTCTGTTTTTACATAATTAATAACTTCACACACACACTTCATAATAATAATGAGGTTTTTTAAGTGTCCCTCTTTGTTTGCAGGTGCCCCAGGATCATCCAAAGACATGTCCGCTTGGTTCAACTTGTTCGCCTGATCTGGATCCTCTGTCAACCCTGGACGCCATCGGGTACGCTCGGCAGACGAAACTCCTGAACGCCTGAACTTCCCACATTCACTGAAAATTGTAAAAAGCCAAACCCCTTTCTTTCTGCAAATGACTGTTAATTCAGCACCAACCCACTTATGTACAAAAACAAACCGTATGTGCAGATGGAGATGTTTGTTTTGGAGCCTGGCGTTAGCTTGTTTGGGTTTCAGGGCGTGGGTCATTTTGTTATGTAGACATTTTAAAGTTTAAGGGATTGTTCAAAAAACCTCGAATATTATGTCGTGCTATGAACCTCATTCTGTATATTTATCAACACTACTGAACCACAAATGCTAAAACTGTATATGTTTGCCTAAGCTGCTGCAAATTCAATATATGATGTCTTAATGAGCCTAAACATTATTATTCTTATTATTAGCATACAGGGATTTCCATAAAGTCCTCTTTTTACTTTTGCTGGCTAAAACCTACTTACTGTCGCATTCAGCTGTTAGTTTATTTTGTGAAATGTACAAAATAATCCTGTGAAAAACCTGTAAAAGAGATATTTTAGGCCAAAGCCCAACCAAACACTATTCAATATAGAATCACAGTGCTTTTTCTTTAGATAGGGTATGTGTGTGTGATGGGACAACAATAATTATTTTTCGTAATTATGACTATTGAGAAACTTCTGCATCAAAACGACTATATGTGAATATCATGTTATTTTATGCATCCTTTTCACAGTGTATTTATTGTTACTCAAATATGCATCATGTATTTGAATCAACTCAATTTTGCATTTTGTTTTGAAGGAAATTGTCGCTGTATATTTTCACTTTACTTTTTGATTCAGACACTGAAAGACAAGAATGTATTTTAATGAAGTACAAACGCTTTATTTAATTCAACTATGCCTTTTATTTCATTTAAGGGACTAAACATGAAGTCTTGGCAGTTCTGTTTCCAATAAACCTGGACAAGCAAACAGTTGTGTTGGGAGCCTCATTCAACAAAAACAAAAACTTTGAAAAATACTGCATAATTTACAAAAACTGTCTTTTTTGTTCTGATTGTTGTTCGGCCAGTGGATTTCATCAAGGAAAAAGAGCTCTTGTTTAAGTTGGTTTGAAGACATCCACACGTTTCTCTACGTCTCTGCTACTAGTTTTTGAACGAATCCTCCACTTCCGGCAACAGAGAGCAGCTGCAGATTTCTTGGGCTATAGTGTTAGCATGTTAGCATATGGTTATGGTTGCATGTTAGCACGTTAGCATTATCATCTCGCATTCCCACCTGAGATGTGCAAAAAAAAATGTATTCTAAATCATTCTCAAAACTCTCCCGAAAATTACACTCCGCCGAGTCTGCATAAATAAATACAATATTATTCTTCACAATGAACATGTTATTTCACAGTACTGATCGGAGGGCGTATTATAGTACAAGTGTTGACTCATTCCATTATATACGGCAGCCAATATTACAAACACAGTGCACCTCCAAAGTATTTACAATCCGGTACTGTTCCGACCCATTTCAGCCAGTAGCATGGGCATATACAAGGGGGTCGGGGACTCGGCGGCGTGGGGACGGGATCAACCAATCAGAACACACAAACCTCTAAAACGCTATTATTTGGAATTAAAATAAATATAATACAGTAAGAACTTATAGCTTTTGTCATTCTTTGTTTAAATATTGAAATTCAGCTACACTAACTTACGTAATGTATTTTGATTCATAGAAAGACTCTTTAACATATGCAAAATTTTCTTTCTATAAAATTCAGTTATTGTTTTACCGACCATAATAAATATATCTTTGCAATGTATTGGGTGTAGTCTCCAAGTTTTGAAATGTAAACTTGGCATGTGCTTTTTTAACTGGATAGATTCTTTAACAAACAGGGTGTAATATGATATAATACAAAATCTAATTATTTTATATTTGCTATTAAGAATCGACTCGTGTTTGGTTGATCTCTCCACACTAGCCCTGCGAGCCACAGGGAGGCCAGGTTCTTCTGAAATCTTTCTACAACAAGACAAAGCTGAGCAACACAACAGGAATAACAGCAGTAGATGGAAAAGAAAAGCAAATGTCAAGAACGATTAGAAAATATTAACAGAGGGAGGCAGTGAACAGGGTTTGTGACTAGGGATGTCAAGATTATTACGATATAATTGTTGTATGACAAAAAGAAAGATCGTGACATCTTTTGAAGCAAATCTTAACAAAATCTTTTTCAATCAATTGGTTTCAAAGGGTGTTTTTTAAAGGATTTTTAAAGGGTTCCAGTTTCCAGCTTCCAGCTCATGTCCAATACCTCTATCTCGATACTTTGACTGTCTGTACCCAGTATGAAGGGCTGAAAATAACAACTATTGCTTTCCTAAAACCAAAACTTACTATTACAGAATGGATCTATTTTATAATACTTCTGTTTGGTTGTTCTCGACGACAATCTGGGTTAATATCAGCCAGTGAGTATGTAGAAATCGCGGAACAGTGAAAGTTTGAACGGTTTAATTGATAGAACCCATATTGAGCTGTGAGTTGCCAGTTCTGAAGGTATGCCCTGGAGAAGCTATGTTCCAGCTTTCTTCCCTCTGGCAGGACTCTCGCTTTGCTAACAGCTGTTATCCGTTTAAACAGAGCACTTTAATGATCTTGCACTTTTGAAACGGTTTTTGTTGATCCATTTCAGTGTCAATTGTTTCCTTCACTTTTATTTAGTTTATTTAAAGTAGAATTTATGTGATGCCATAGTCAACATTTATTGGCCCTTAATATGTCAAAAGCCATCTTACTCAGACGCCTAAAATCTTAACCATGTCACCACTTCCGGAGCTTATTTGTTTAAAACTAATTCGAAGTAGGATTATTACTTCCGGTTTCGTCCCGATTTCAGTTTATGATCTAGTGCCGATCATTAATAAACAGGCTCTTTTCCTGGATACTTCTTTAACTGATAACTGTAGTTCAGCGAGTATCCCACCCACCCCCGTTTGACCAGATCAGAAAGTCTGTGGTTCGGGCGCCAGAACTCACCACGTCGAGCTAATCTCACTGGTTAAGTTCCATGGTGGCTGCTGTACTAAAAAGTTTGTTATGATGTAGTGAGTTATGTTATGATTCTCAAATCATTATCGACAAAAGAAGGAATAAAACCAGGATTTATATCAGGGCCTTTGTGAAAAAGATGTTGGTTTTAGGTGTTGGGCTATTTGTTGTTGAGAGTGGGGGAGGCTGCAGTACCACTTTTGGTAAGATTTTCACATATTGCTCCTTTAAAATCTGTACTTTTAAGCTTTTTATCTATGTACTTGTCTGGAGCACACTAGGGACACTTGCACAGTTATTCCAATGTGGTTTTATTATTATATTCCAGAAAGGAAAGATTTGCCAATAATTGTAAATAATCGTAAAAGGCATTGTGTTTTTCCCCCCTCACAATAATCGTAACTCTAACATTTAATATCGTGACATCCCTAGTTGTGACGTAGTAGCACACACAGGTTTGAACAACTGCGCATTTCTAGGCCCGGGCCCATTTCCCCAAAGATACACAGCAAAGAGAGGGGCCGCTTCACTGCTACCACGGTAAGAAGGCAACGAAAGTCCACTTTGCAATCCTCCACAGGCCGTGCGTGGCTTGTAAAGTGTAAAACATATTTGGATTTGGTTTACAGATGCTCTAACATGCTGTTTCATTAAGCACGCCCCTCTTCTGTGTATCTACTGCCAACACAGAGCAGAGATCAAAGACGTGATCCCAGCTCTTTGCTTTTTGGGGAAACGGACGGGATCAAAAGCATCAGGCACGTTTTAAAATGTCTTCTTTTGCGACCTTTCAAGTTTTGCTACGAAAATACATTTGGTAGCACCAAAATCGGCCTCCGACGGTTGGTTCTAATGGTCGCCAAAAGAAACCGGTGACATTTTTTTTCTTTGATGGAAGGCATACTTCATTACAAGAGAAACTACAGATAGAAAAAGAGATATGTCCGTGGAAAGGCGCTACGGTATAATATGATGAACTAAAAGTCAGTCCTCTGCCAATTCCTCCGAAAAACAGGACCATTACCAGCGCTAAAAGTAGAAGAAAGCAATGAAATGTGAACCGCGAAAACGGCGTTCTGGGAGGCAGTGGGAAGCGCTTCAACGAGAGAAGGACATCAGAGAGAGAGAGAGAGCTGAGCTGGCATGCTGATAAGTTCTGGAGCAGAGGGTGTGAGTCAAATGTCCGGTAATCTCAGAAGCTCTCGGGCTCCTCCAGCAGGCAGGGCTGAGTGGACAGAGGCACCAGGGAGGGGGACAGACTGCGCAGGCCCACCCCAGGACGAAAGCTCAGCTCGGGGGCTGGCAGTAAGGGCTTGAGGATGCTGACCAGGCAGAAGGCAGAGCCGCTGTTGGGGATGAAGTTCACCTTGTTCCGGTCGGGACACAGGAAGGGCGGGATCTCCTGCAGAGGCTTGGGTCTGAAAGCGACACACATGATACGTCAGGGCTACATGAACGTTACTTTTCCTACACAAACATATCTATAAATACAGAACAACAAGACTGAATTAGGATGACCATCTCTCTATTAACTATAGAGCAGTACATTTGACAGGTTTTAGTTTTGTAAGTGTAAATCATGGATCTATCATAATAACTGGATAGGGTATTACTAGCTTGGAGCTGAAGAACTCATGTGCTCGGGAGATTCTCGCGGTACTGCAGACTAAACCAGACTAAATTCACGTGGGCTACCCAGAAGAACTCAATGTAAACTAAAACAGCGCGACCTCAGCTGACAGAGAACCTGACAGAGAACCTATAGCTTTCATAAAGGTCGGATTTTGTGGGGATTTTAGTGTCCCTTTTGTCCTGAACTTTTTTTCTTCTTAAATCCTTCGGTTTTGTTTAAATCCACACTTTACGGCCACAAACTCTGCTTGTTTGGCCCTAGTTCTAACTCCCGTTCTATCTCCGCTCTGATGATCAGCTCTGATTGGTCAGAGCACAGCCGAGCCCCTCTGTAAGTAAGTAGTAAGTAAGCTTTATTTATATACCGCCTTTCACAGACCAGAGTCACAAAGCGGTTTACAATTGTTATTTTTTGGGCACTTGTCCTCTCACTCCACACAGAGATGGGAGCAGGGTCGCCGAACAGGAGGCGCATGCCAGAACCTATTGTACATATTTTTAGTGGTGTGTACGTGCATGAGAGCCACACACGTGTATTTGGCGCAATGCATCATGGGAGATAATCCACTGCGCAGAACTGGGAGGACCAGACAATGCCCAAATACAGGCAAGTTCCGCTAATATGTCAGCGACCGTGCCGTCACAAAGCGCCACTGAGCACGAACCATTCATTTGAACACGGCGCCATCTTGGATCGCCAGGGCTTGGTGTAAATACTCTGTATGTATGTATCATGGTCTTCAAAATGGATCCCTGTCATTATTTTCATGAAACTATCTCCAATGGATTGAATGGAATCCAGAGCCGTCATTTAGTTCTAGTAGTTACATATTTGTTAATAACTTACTGTTATTATGAATAAAAACATGTTTTATTTTGACACCTCCTGTCTCGACCGGAAGTTAAGCGGCTCGCGCTACATCAGACAGAACGACGTTACAACGAAGTTACAAAGTTAATACGGTATAAAAGTATCAACACAGTTTAGCTACAGTTAAGAGAGGGAAAAAAGTTTGCAATGATTTAAAGTTTGCTAAATATGTAAAATAATAGTCATTTTAAGAGAACAATGTAGTGAGATAGAAATAAGGTATTATTTTTATTTCTCTTCTAGCTCTTAGGTTGGTTTTACGACTAAATGTAATGGACAAAATAAACTTAATTTAACCATAAGTTCTGGCTTCAAACACACATTATGTTCAAAACAGCTTATTACCTTGTCTTCTCCCATAGACACACATACTACTTCAGCATTGATCCTAGATCTGTGTCTTTACTTTGCCCATAGCTGTGGTCTGAAAACACTCACATATTCTCCTCGCAGGCTTTGACCTTCTCGCAGCCCTCCGGAGGCTCCCTCTTGAAGGTGTAGCTGTTGTTTGGCCGAGGAGAAGCAGCGTATTTGGGCAGAGGCGAACAGGGGCCCAGTTCTGGAGAGAATGAATGGAGTCCGGAAATAAATGGTTAGTAACTGAGGATAACACAGCACACATGTAGTAGAACTGTACTGGGGTAGAAATGATAGTTGTCCTTTGTACTTGACGATAAATCATATTATACCAAATCCCTAGAATGGTGTGAAATACATTTAGCTGGGGCACCTAATTTACAAGCCACAGACATTTTTACGATGCAATAAAATTCATGTTACTAGTTGCTATGTACTAGTTTTTGCATGCTTATATTTTTTGGTATCTAAAAGTATTTATCTGGCAGCTAAAAACTTTTCAGGTTGACTTTAGTTTAACTGGACCAAATATGTTTCTCTTGGGGCAAAAACGCTTCACAAATCTGTTTCAGTGACCGGTGCAGACATGTTTAGTGGTTTTACATCCACGAATAAAGCATTTTCGAACCACAATCGGTCAAGTTAAAAGTGAACCAGATCAACAAGTGTGGTTGCGGTGACAAAGCCTTCTGTTAGCGCGGGTAAAAGATGGCCCCAGCAGGAGGGAGGGCCTACCTTTGTCCTCGTACGGGCTGCCTGCGGTCGCGTCGTTCAGCACTGTGAGGTAGGAGGGTGAGATGGAGTCGGGCCGGCTGCTGCAGTTGCTATGGCTCCCGCTCAGCCCGCCCCCCGATGGCGTCTGGGTATCGATGCTCCGCGTGCTACTGCTGCGTTGGGGGACCACAGGAGGGGGAGCGCGGTGCCCATCTGGGACGTCCTGAGGCTGAGGGCACCACAAAAACAGCTAATGTAACGGCTAATCCTTCTCCTGTGGGTGTTAGCGGAGACAGAAATGGAGCAAACTCACAACAATGACCTCCTCCTTCTCGGGGGTGTCCCGGATGATGAGCCGCTCAATCTCCTGGTTGAGACCCTCCACGCTGTTGCGAAAACGAGGGGCGGACGACTTGCCGATGGGAATGGGTATCAAGATGGTTTTGGGCATAGGGGACTGCGCCACATGTAAACAGATGTGAACAAATGAACTGGATGTACAGTTTGTGACGAGATCAACATCAATCATTATGACTGTTTTGGGGGGAGATGAATCAACCCCAGAGGATGCAGAGCTCTTTTATCACAGAGTTGAATGATGAACCCAATTGTGCTTTTTCATTGTGCCGTGACTGAGAAAGGACAGCTGCTACTCCACAGGGAACAGGTGTAAAGAGACCAGCGCAGTGCATCATGGGTCATAAACATCACCAATGGTTCTTACAGAAGAGGAACACTGCAGCAGCTAACACGGCCCCTCCGGATGAACTGTTTTTCTTTGTGTATCTGCAGCGGGAGAGAGAAGCGCAGCTCACCTGAGATTGGATGATGGTGTGGCTGCCATTAAAGGGCGACTTGCGCTCTTTATCTCTCCGATGACGGCTGCTGCGTTTGCTGCGCTGGAGCTGCTGCCGCAACTTTGCAATCTGAAAGAAAAGACATAATGTCACATCCACCGTGGATCACTGACCAGAGACACAGTGGCACCTGGTCCACCTACCTCTTTGAGCTGGTCGGTGCTCCCGCAGGAGGCCGAGCGTTTGTGAGAGCCCCTCCTCCTCTCATCTGCCCAGGCCCTGGGGGTCTGCAACACACAATCAATTACATTTATCAAACCAATCATAGATTTATCCATTTAATATAGACTCAGCAATTTTATTTGAGTATAGAGTTATTATTCATTTATCTTCCGTTATATGACCCTCAGTCCTACTGTTCTGTAACCAGTGATGCAACACTGAAAATTCCCTAATGTGAGATTATTAAAGGATCTCTTAATCCTAAACTCAACTGCATTGGACAAAAATGCTTATTGTCAACACATGTCTATAGGATACATTCAAGACAAAGAAATAGGACATTAACATTTCACAAATATATATATACTAGATAGAATTAGTATCTGGGCTTGTTCACACTAAAGGGCACAAAAGTGTGACAAAAGGCCAAACATTTGATTTGAATAATCAGAAGATATTTTATGTTTTTCATGTTTCCAAGCACCTCCTCTGTCCTTTAGTTGCTAGAACATAACTGTTTTATACATTAGACAAGTTTCCTATAGCAGCCCTGTTTATCTTATATGACGGACGTGATGATTTGACGGAATGAGCTTTGTGGAAGTTTGATAGGTATTTTCAGATGTCCACATTTGATTCAGAGATTCTACTTTTTTACACAAAGTAGATTCAAAGTGATACTTTCATATTGTCAACCAATTAAATGTGAAAACAGACCAGATTTTTTTTCTTCTCAAGTTTAATTTTTAGAGAAAAGAGGACCGTCCTCATCACGTCCGTTATACATTTTTCAGGGGTCATTTAATTAAATTTTTTTTTTTTTTTACGATTCCTTTTTATATCAAGTGATTTCCTCCTGTTGTGGTAACCATGTAAATCTTGTGGGATTTAATCTTCTGCTTTTTCAGACTGAGGACATTTTATTTTCTATGTAACTGGCGTCACAGGAGAATGGTCCAATCAGAGGCTAATTTGGTCGTTTAAAATGTTGCTAAACATTTTTATGTCAATCTTTCCTTTTGATTTTTTCCACACTATCTCTTCAATGTGTCTGTGTTTGAAATCTTTTTTCCAATCTATGAAAGTAATTTTAGTTTTTAAGTTATAACCTTTTAAAGTCCAGATACTTCAATTGTCACTTTACTGTGAACACACTCATCTATTAGTCTGTTTAAAAACTTTATATGCACCTAATGTTATCTGAGACACAATTTAACCCAACTAAATATTTCTGAGTAAGCTATTGATTAGTGTAGGTGATTGGCAGAGCTCTGAACCTCTGGAAGCAGCAGAAGCACAGCTCACAGCTGATGCAACTGCCTGAAACAGCGTCTGACCTGTTTGCATTAATCACTATCTTATAACTCAGTCCTGAGGAAGAAACAAAGTGAGTCTCAAGAATAGACGACTCAACCTTGTCCTGTCATGGCAGGAGACTGACCTGTGTGGCTTTGTCCCGCATGTAGGGAACGTGCTGGTGCTGGCTGTCGTCCTGAGGCCAGGGACCAATCAGGTGAGCGCCAGCGGTCGCGCCCTGTGTGGGCCACAGCTGGACGCGATGGCAGGAGACCAACAGGAGAATGGGGAGGCAGGAGGAGGGGCAGGGCTGGGAGGAATCCACGATGCAACGCAGCACAAGACTGAAGCAGAGTGTGCACCACTGCCGTTGATATCTGCTGAGAATAACCACAGGAAGCACAAGAGGAAGTAAACAACAACATGTCAACAAATCAGCCGCCCACAGCTGGTGCGGGGGATTAGGCCTGGGCTGTCTGTCTAGGTTTGGGAGCACTTCCAGATTGATCCTAATCCAGCCTGTTCTGTGGACACGGCCCCCTCTTTAAGGCTCCAAAGGCCCCTAGTTAATGGAATAAAGAGCTTAGACAAGGACAGAGCGTGAGGGCACTGAGGGCATGTGCCCGCTGCCCTGACCCTGATTCTGCACTAAGTGAATGCATGTTTAACCAGCCTGTGTGTTGCACCGTGTCAGCACATTTATGCTCATGGTTATTTCATGAGATCTGGCCCTTAAGTGCATGACTGAAGACCAAAGGTGCCCTCGAAAACCTCATATTGACACATGTTGAAATAATTAGATTTATTGCTCTTTTCACATATCTGGAATCATAACTTACTGAGATATTGCAAGTTTGTATTTGAAAATAATCAAACATTGTGCATCTGGTTGCTCTGGTTGTCTCATGTTCATTTCACAATGGCTAATCCAACTAACGAACCTCCGTCCAAATGTACTTCCTCCGTGAGTACTCTTAATTAAGCAGCATGAATTATCTCAGTCCTAACAACAGCCAAACACACACAAACATGCTGCACTAGGGAGACTAGCAAAGCACATCCAGAGGCTAAATTTGGGAGGGAGGCCTGACCACATCTCTGTTGCTAAGAAACAGCTGACTGATATTCATTAACATACATTTTATGATAATACTCTAAAGAGGACATAAGGAGTGGACTTACCTACACATAATAGCGCTGTACTATATAATTATAATTACTGTGCACACCAGACACTGCACATTCTGTGTACATACAGATACACTAGACTGGTATTTGAGCTAAGAGTCAGTCTGCAGCTCATGACAACAAATAGAGCTCATAGTAACACCTCGGCCTAGTGTGGAGTCTGATGAGGACATAGTAGAAGGAACTGCAATTTCTGTGCAAATAATTCTCACAATAGGTTGTTGTGCTTAGACAGTGTCAAGCAAATACTAAGTCAACATCTGGCCTACTATATTTTAACATGTTATGAATGTAGGCCTATGCAAAACCCCATTAAGATTAGCTTCCCTCTCTGACCACAACAAATATTATTCTTAATCCTTTCCGCACCATTGCCACCCCTAGGCCTCCATCCATAATTTATGAGGGCACTTGTGTTTACTCCAAACAGCATGCTTCTCCTTTTATGTCACTACTATGATTCTAGTATCCATTTAAAAGCAAAGGAAATACAAATATAGTCTCCATTCACAGAAAATCTACTACTCTGTCCTCCGGGGGCAACATTTACCAGTCAAATGATGGAGCCGAGGATTTATGGAAAACAAGCTTACCTCAGAGACGTGCAGTTGGGGAGAAGGCTTCACTTTTATGGCATGGGGGTTTTAATGCAGCCCTTTGGAAATGTGCAAAAATAAAATACGCGTAAAAAGCGCGCACAATCCAAAATAATCCACTTAAAATTAAATAAAACGGGATTTTTAGTTAAATTGATACAGTAGGAGTCAAAATGGGCGTATCTATGTTGCAGCCAGTCTCCTCCTCGTTGTGGTGGATGGATGTTTTTCTCTCCCGGCAGATGCGGCACGACGGCGGAAGAAAAGCTTTTTAACGCGTTCAGGTCCAAACGTGCAGAGATAAAAAATGATAAAAATGCTAAATATACATGTGTGTTTGCGATCGCGGCGAGGGAAAGGCGAGAAAACACACAAGGCGGACAGAAAATAGATAAAATAGACAGGAGAGGGCGGAGATGATGCTGGTTTCGTCTTGTGTCTGACGCGACGGAGGGACCACGGTCAAGGCGCACGAGGGCAGCGCGCACCGGAAGTACTGCTACAAAATAAAAGCACGCGACATTGTAAACAACACCATCTAATCGTTTCAAAATTACAGACAACGGTCAAAAACATATGTAAGCCATATTCTTTTAAGGATATATTTCAAGGTGCAATTTTTCTTAAAGGCTACAACGTGTTTGATCGCAGATGAAGAGCTCCATTATTCGTCCCACAGTGCTGAAATGTCAGTGTTGCACCACTACAGTGCAAAAAATGATCAAATATGAGATAATTGCTTGAATCGAGTTGTTTTTCTCTTAAGTTAAGTTCATTCTGACTGTCTTAAAACGAGATTTGCCAATGAGACAAGCAATTTTGACTTGATTCAAGAACTATTGCTTTATTTTCTCATTCCAAGAGAGAAATGTTTCGTATCTTTTTAAAACAAGATAGTTTTTCTTGTTCCACTGGCAAATCTTGTTCTAAGGCAGTCAAAATGTGATCAAATTTAGATACATTTAGCCAAATTGTCTTTAATTCCATCATTTTTTGCTGTGTAGCTACAGACCAGTTGGAATAAGGACACAGTACAACATAATTGAACTATAACTATTTACAATTACAAAGAAGCAAGTAAAACAAATCTAACTATAGCATAATAAAGATGCAAGTATAAAATCTCTAACGTTTTAGAGTCCAAAAGCCTGAATTCTTGGAGTATGCAGACTTGCCTCTCCACAGATATGACTTGTAACTTAACAGAGAAATGTCACGTGCTTGTCATCTATGTAGAGGCTATCCCGTGGAATATAAAATAATAATAATAACAACTATGATAATAGATGTATCCAATATGCCGTAATCAATACAGAATATTTGTATAGACCACGCTTAGAGAAATAAATAAACGAAACATGCAAAAGTAAATATATTTTGTGTGTTATGTTCCTTGTCTGTACTGCTGCTGCATTCAGGGTGCTGACCTCTAACCCCCCCTCAAGTGTGAAATTACAGAAGTTGTGATCATTTGGAATAATATATAGGTCATGAATATAGTCAGTGGATCACACAATCATCACATCTGCTGTTTTAAAATATTTAAAAGATTCATGGCTAGAATTAAATCAGATATCCTTTGATCCGTACAGACATTTCAGTGCTGCATTGGTGGATTTTGCCACACTGGGGAATCAAATGGTGGAGCGTGTGCAAAAGAAATCAAAATCTAATATACGCCAGGTGGGTGGTGGGGTCTATGTAGTATATGAGTTCGTATGCAAAGGCAGGAAATGACAAGTCCCCACAATATATATACTCCAATAGATGATGGGGGGTGGGGTGGGGGGTGGGGATGCATGTACTTATACGATACCCCAGTGTGGGGCCAAAATCAACACAATGCAACCACTGAAATGGGGAGCTGATCAAAGGACATCTTGATTTTATTCTAGCCATTAATCTTTTAAATATTTTAAAACAGCAGATGTGATGATTGTGTGATCCACTGACTATATTCATGACCTATATATTATTCCAAATGATCACAACTTCTGTAATTTCACACTTGAGGGGGGGTTAGAGGTCAGCACCCTGAATGCACCAGCAGTACAGACAAGGAACATAACACACAAAATATATTTACTTTTGCATGTTTCGTTTATTTATTTCTCTAAGCGTGTCTATACAAATATTCTGTATTGATTACGGCATATTGGATACATCTATTATCATAGTTGTTTATTATTATTATTTTATATTCCACGGGATAGCCTCTACATAGATGACAAGCACGTGACATTTCTCTGTTAAGTTACAAGTCATATCTGTGGAGAGGCAAGTCTGCATACTCCAAGAATTCAGGCTTTTGGACTCTAAAACGTTAGAGATTTTATACTTGCATCTTTATTATGCTATAGTTAGATTTGTTTTTTTACTTGCTTCTTGTAATTGTAAATAGTTATAGTTCAATTATGTTGTACTGTGTCCTTATTCCAACTGGTCTGTAGCTACACAGCAAAAAATGATGGAATTAAAGACAATTTGGCTAAATGTATCTAAATTTGATCACATTTTGACTGCCTTAGAACAAGATTTGCCAGTGGAACAAGAAAAACTATCTTGTTTTAAAAGATACGAAACATTTCTCTCTTGGAATGAGAAAATAAAGCAATAGTTCTTGAATCAAGTCAAAATTGCTTGTCTCATTGGCAAATCTCGTTTTAAAGACAGTCAGAATGAACTTAACTTAAGAGAAAAACAACTCGATTCAAGCAATTATCTCATATTTGATCATTTTTTGCACTGTAGTGGTGCAACACTGACATTTCACACTGTGGGACGAATAATGGAGCTCTTCATCTGCGATCAAACACGTTGTAGCCTTTAAGAAAAATTGCACCTTGAAATATATCCTTAAAAGAATATGGCTTACATATGTTTTTGACCGTTTTGTCTGTAATTTTGAAACGATTAGATGGTGTTGTTTACAATGTCGCGTGCTTTTATTTTGTAGCAGTACTTCCGGTGCGCGCTGCCCTCGTGCGCCTTGACCGTGGTCCCTCCGTCGCGTCAGACACAAGACGAAACCAGCATCATCTCCGCCCTCTCCTGTCTATTTTATCTATTTTCTGTCCGCCTTGTGTGTTTTCTCGCCTTTCCCTCGCCGCGATCGCAAACACACATGTATATTTAGCATTTTTATCATTTTTTATCTCTGCACGTTTGGACCTGAACGCGTTAAAAAGCTTTTTCTTCCGCCGGTCGTGCCGCATCTGCCGGGAGAGAAAAACATCCATCCACCACAACGAGGAGGAGACTGGCTGCAACATAGATACGCCCATTTTGACTCCTACTGTATCAATTTAACTAAAAATCCGTTTTATTTAATTTTAAGTGGATTATTTTGGATTGTGCGCGCTTTTTACGCGTATTTTATTTTTGCACATTTCCAAAGGGCTGCATTAAAACCCCCATGCCATAAAAGTGAAGCCTTCTCCCCAACTGCACGTCTCTGAGGTAAGCTTGTTTTCCATAAATCCTCGGCTCCATCATTTGACTGGTAAATGTTGCCCCCGGAGGACAGAGTAGTAGATTTTCTGTGAATGGAGACTATATTTGTATTTCCTTTGCTTTTAAATGGATACTAGAATCATAGTAGTGACATAAAAGGAGAAGCATGCTGTTTGGAGTAAACACAAGTGCCCTCATAAATTATGGATGGAGGCCTAGGGGTGGCAATGGTGCGGAAAGGATTAAGAATAATATTTGTTGTGGTCAGAGAGGGAAGCTAATCTTAATGGGGTTTTGCATAGGCCTACATTCATACCATGTTAAAATATAGTAGGCCAGATGTTGACTTAGTATTTGCTTGACACTGTCTAAGCACAACAACCTATTGTGAGAATTATTTGCACAGAAATGGCAGTTCCTTCTACTATGTCCTCATCAGACGCCACACTAGGCCTGAGGTGGTTACTATGAGCTCTATTTGTTGTCATGAGCTGCAGACTGACTCTCAGCTCAAATACCAGTCTAGTGTATCTGTATGTACACAGAAGTGCAGTGTCTGGTGTGCACAGTAATTATAATTATATAGTACAGCGCTATTATGTGTAGGTAAGTCCACTCCTTATGGTCCTCTTTAGAGTATTATCATAAAATGTATGTTAATGAATATCAGTCAGCTGTTTCTTAGCAACAGAGATGTGGTCAGGCCTCCCTCCCAAATTTAGCCTCTGGATGTGCTTTGCTAGTCTCCCTAGTGCAGCATGTTTGTGTGTGTTTGGCTGGTGGTTAGGACTGAGATAATTCATGCTGCTTAATTAAGAGTACTCACGGAGGAAGTACATTTGGACGGAGGTTCGTTAGTTGGATTAGCCATTGTGAAATGAACATGAGACAACCAGAGCAACACAGATGCACAATGTTTGATTATTTTCAAATACAAACTTGCAATATCTCAGTAAGTTATGATTCCAGATATGTGAAAAGAGCAATAAATCTAATTATTTCAACATGTGTCAATATGAGGTTTTCGAGGGGCACCTTTGGTCTTCAGTCATGCACTTAAGGGCCAGATCTCATGAAATAACCATGAGCATAAATGTGCTGACACGGTGCAACACACAGGCTGGTTAAACATGCATTCACTTAGTGCAGAATCAGGGTCAGGGCAGCGGGCACATGCCCTCAGTGCCCTCACGCTCTGTCCTTGTCTAAGCTCTTTATTCCATTAACTAGGGGCCTTTGGAGCCTTAAAGAGGGGGCCGTGTCCACAGAACAGGCTGGATTAGGATCAATCTGGAAGTGCTCCCAAACCTAGACAGACAGCCCAAGGCCTAATCCCCCGCACCAGCTGTGGGCGGCTGATTTGTTGACATGTTGTTGTTTACTTCCTCTTGTGCTTCCTGTGGTTATTCTCAGCAGATATCAACGGCAGTGGTGCACACTCTGCTTCAGTCTTGTGCTGCGTTGCATCGTGGATTCCTCCCAGCCCTGCCCCTCCTCCTGCCTCCCCATTCTCCTGTTGGTCTCCTGCCATCGCGTCCAGCTGTGGCCCACACAGGGCGCGACCGCTGGCGCTCACCTGATTGGTCCCTGGCCTCAGGACGACAGCCAGCACCAGCACGTTCCCTACATGCGGGACAAAGCCACACAGGTCAGTCTCCTGCCATGACAGGACAAGGTTGAGTCCGTCTATTCTTGAAGACTCACTTTGTTTCTTCCTCAGGACTGAGTTATAAGATAGTGATTAATGCAAACAGGTCAGACGCTGTTTTTTCAGGCAGTTGCATCAGCTGTGAGCTGTGCTTCTGCTGCTTCCAGAGGTTCAGAGCTCTGCCAATCACCTACACTAATCAATAGCTTACTCAGAAATATTTAGTTGGGAGTTAAATTGTGTCCTCAGATAACATTAGGTGCTCATATAAAGTTTTTAAACAGACTAATAGATGAGTGTGTTCACAGTAAAGTGACAATTGAAGTATCTGGACTTTAAAAGGTTATAACTTAAAAACTAAAATTACTTTTCATAGATTGGAAAAAAGATTTCAAACACAGACACATTGAAGAGATAGTGTGGAAAAAATCAAAAGGAAAGATTGACATAAAAATGTTTAGCAACATTTTAAACGACAAATTAGCCTCTGATTGGACCATTCTCCTGTGACGCCAGTTACATAGAAAATAAAATGTCCTCAGCTCTGAAAAAGCAGAAGATTAAATCCCACAAGATTTACATGGTTACCACAACAGGAGGAAATCACTTGATATAAAAAGGAATCGTAAAAAAAAAAAAAAATTTAATTAAATGACCCCTGAAAAATGTATAACGGACGTGATGAGGACGGTCCTCTTTTCTCTAAAAATTAAACTTGAGAAGAAAAAAAATCTGGTCTGTTTTCACATTTAAGTGGTTGACAATATGAAAGTATCACTTTGATTCTACTTTGTGTAAAAAAGTAGAATCTCTGAATCAAATGTGGACATCTGAAAATACCTATCAAACTTCCACAAAGCTCATTCCGTCAAAGCATCACTCCGTCATATAAGATAAAACAGGGCTGACTATAGGAAACTTGTCTAATGTATAAAACAGTTATGTTCTAGCAACTAAAGGACAGAGAGGAGGTGCTTGGAAACATGAAAAACATAAAATATCTTCTGATTATTCAAATCAAATGTTTGGCCTTTTGTCACACTTTTGTGCCCTTTAGTGTGACAAGCCCAGATACTAATTCTATCTAGTATATATATATTTGTGAAATGTTAATGTCCTATTTCTTTGTCTTGAATGTATCCTATAGACATGTGTTGACAATAAGCATTTTTGTCCAATGCAGTTGAGTTTTAGGATTAAGAGATCCTTTAATAATCTCACATTAGGGAATTTTCCAGTGTTTGCATCACTGGTTACAGAACAGTAGGACTGAGGGTCATATAACGGAAGATAAATGAATAATAACTCTATACTCAAATAAAATTGCTGAGTCTATATTAAATGGATAAATCTATGATTGGTTTGATAAATGTAATTGATTGTGTGTTGCAGACCCCCAGGGCCTGGGCAGATGAGAGGAGGAGGGGCTCTCACAAACGCTCGGACCTCCTGCGGAGAAGCACCGACCAGCTCAAAGAGGTAGGTGGACCAGGTGCCACTGTGTCTCTGGTCAGTGATCCACGGTGGATGTGACATTATGTCTTTTCTTTCAGATTGCAAAGTGCGGCAGCAGCTCCAGCGCAGCAAACGCAGCAGCCGTCATCGGAGAGATAAAGAGCGCAAGTCGCCCTTTAATGGCAGCCACACCATCATCCAATCTCAGGTGAGCTGCGCGTTCTCTCCCGCTGCAGATACACAAGGAAAAACAGTTCATCCGGAGGGCCCGTGGTTAGCTGCTGCAGTGGTTCCTCTCTGTAAGAACCATTGGTGATGTTTATGACCCATGATGCACTGCGCTGGTCTCTTTACACCTGTTCCCTGTGGGAGTAGCAGCTGTCCTTTTCTCAGTCACGGCACAATGAAAAAGCACAATTGGGTTCATCATTCAACTCTGTGATAAAAGAGCTCTGCATCCTCTGGGGTTGATTCATCTCCCCCCAAAACAGTCATAATGATTGAAGTTGATCTCGTCACAAACTGTACATCCAGTTCATTTGTTCACATCTGTTTACATGTGGCGCAGTCCCCTATGCCCAAAACCATCTTGATACCCATTCCCATCGGCAAGTCGTCCGCCCCTCGTTTTCGCAACAGCGTGGAGGGTCTCAACCAGGAGATTGAGCGGCTCATCATCCGGGACACCCCCGAGAAGGAGGAGGTCATTGTTGTGAGTTTGCTCCATTTCTGTCTCCGCTAACACCCACAGGAGAAGGATTAGCCGTTACATTAGCTGTTTTTGTGGTGCCCTCAGCCTCAGGACGTCCCAGATGGGCACCGCGCTCCCCCTCCTGTGGTCCCCCAACGCAGCAGTAGCACGCGGAGCATCGATACCCAGACGCCATCGGGGGGCGGGCTGAGCGGGAGCCATAGCAACTGCAGCAGCCGGCCCGACTCCATCTCACCCTCCTACCTCACAGTGCTGAACGACGCGACCGCAGGCAGCCCGTACGAGGACAAAGGTAGGCCCTCCCTCCTGCTGGGGCCATCTTTTACCCGCGCTAACAGAAGGCTTTGTCACCGCAACCACACTTGTTGATCTGGTTCACTTTTAACTTGACCGATTGTGGTTCGAAAATGCTTTATTCGTGGATGTAAAACCACTAAACATGTCTGCACCGGTCACTGAAACAGATTTGTGAAGCGTTTTTGCCCCAAGAGAAACATATTTGGTCCAGTTAAACTAAAGTCAACCTGAAAAGTTTTTAGCTGCCAGATAAATACTTTTAGATACCAAAAAATATAAGCATGCAAAAACTAGTACATAGCAACTAGTAACATGAATTTTATTGCATCGTAAAAATGTCTGTGGCTTGTAAATTAGGTGCCCCAGCTAAATGTATTTCACACCATTCTAGGGATTTGGTATAATATGATTTATCGTCAAGTACAAAGGACAACTATCATTTCTACCCCAGTACAGTTCTACTACATGTGTGCTGTGTTATCCTCAGTTACTAACCATTTATTTCCGGACTCCATTCATTCTCTCCAGAACTGGGCCCCTGTTCGCCTCTGCCCAAATACGCTGCTTCTCCTCGGCCAAACAACAGCTACACCTTCAAGAGGGAGCCTCCGGAGGGCTGCGAGAAGGTCAAAGCCTGCGAGGAGAATATGTGAGTGTTTTCAGACCACAGCTAT